GTGTAAAGATTCGACTGCAGTGGTACGTGATGTTCGTGCTTTCTCCTCTTCCAGGACTCAAAGCTGTGAGAGCGAGTACCTCTCTGCTGGCAGCCGCCTCCTCTCTGCAGCTTGTATCCCTCAGCCCAAACTAATAGTCCATTACACAGCAGTCAACTCGGAACAAGAACAAGTGTTCATGCTGGATGTTCCCTCTGCCCGCCGCTGGCTCCGCCACAATCATCTGTGGGCCCATGAGGTGTGGACACACTAAACCACCAGCTGTTTATTTCTTTGCTGTCTACAGAACTCCTTCTCTTTCCTTTAGAAACTGCTTGTGCTCAACAGCCGCTGACTCTCAGGAAAACAACCAATGAAATCAGGAATATGAAAGATTGCATATTTCTTGGTCATGTTTCAATTGACTTGAACTGAGGAGCAGAAAAACACAAAGACCAAAAACTACTATTCTTTTCTTTCTTTCTTTCTATCTTTTTTTTTGGTTCAGAGTAGTTTTAAAATAGGTTAAGAGGTTGTTTCCTGAGTTCTTTTAGCTGATTTGTCAATCTGTTTGTGAGATTGACTCTTTGAAAGCAAAAACTCTGTTTAGGAACAGAGTCCAGCATGTTTGTTGCACGATTGTGTTTACTTCATTGTAAATAACATCTGAGTGTAAATAGGTATATATTTATAATGGTGTTTAGTCTTTGACAGTATTATGTTGTTATATTAATGTCAAAACCTCAATTGTTGCCAGTTAAGGAGCTGTGATTTACATTTTCTTTGTATGAAGTTTTTATGTATCTATATATATCTATATAAAAAAAGGTTCTACTTAAAAAAAAGGCTCTTTTTTTTTTTTTCTTTTTCAATTTTTCTTTCAAATGAGAAAGGACATTTCTCTAAAAAGTGACTTTTGGATTTGACCACAGTTGCTTCCCTGCAGTCTTTAACTTTTCTCCTCCAGCGATGATGTAGCGGGTAAATGCAGCGTTACTGAAATCTCAGATTCTGGCCACTTTACAATACACAACATTACTTATAATTTCTGTTCCAGAGAACTTTCCTATTCAAAATTCTTTCAGGCATGTTTTCCTCTTCTTTTCGCAGCCAGCATCGCTCACTGTACGGGTCTCATTTTATGGTCCCTGTAGTAGAAGACGGGTTCCTCATGAAAGAAAAAAATCAGTTATCTGTGACTGCGACATGTTTGAGGAGCTTGATTACTGGAACATCAGTTGAGGCGTGAAGCATTTGACGCGGTGTCTTGGTTAAAAAGCACAACACTGGCTGACTGACATGTCTGATCGTGCGTGACAGAAAGGTGGATTTAATATTGTTGCAGAGTCTTTGCAGCATAGGTTGAAATGTCTGTCACAAAAATATCAAAGTGCTGATTGACAATAAAAGTTGTTGCATACTATTTGGTGAGATTTTTATTTGATTTTTTTTTACTTTGTGGCAGAACAGCTAAATAATTTAATGTAATTTAGTTGCTTCTATCCAGAACTCACAGACTTGACTTTCCCTTCAGTGCTTGGAATAAAAGCCCTGCTGTGGCCCTTACGTGGTGTTTCTGCTATTCAGCCACTAGATGGCGAACTTTGACATGAGCAGACCATAAAATAAACACATTTGCTGACACATGGTTTGAAAGCCACAGAGACCGGTGTTTAGAGAAAATGTTTCTCAGCTGTTCTGATACTCCTGACACATAAAGGATCACTGAAGGTTTTTGCTCAGGGAGCAGTTGTCCTCCTCTTTTAATATTATACAAAACAAATGTATAATATACATTTGGCCGCCGTTTCTGTGGGGATGGTGTTTGCTCTGTGTTGTAGCATCCTGATGACACTCGGTTTGAGCTCCAGTAGATGATTAAAAATGTCCCCCTTTACTGATGGGAGTCTCACAGTCTAAGAAGGCTACCCGTGTCATTTTTCATATCCTTCCCCATGATCTTAATGCGGTGGTCCACCGAGTTACTGTGATCAGTGAACTGTGGTACGTCTTGAAATTTGATTTTCACCCAGGTGTCATCACATACCTGAACCAATGACTTGGTGTTTCAGGGCAGGATAACAGAGCCCTTTTTTCCACTTCTTCACTGGTCAAGACAATTTGCCTATAAATGATCAAGAAACTGACCTCACAGCTCATTGTTCATTCAGTGGTGCTTGTTTCAGTTATTATGCAAATGTACTGTTTATAAGGTGGGTAAAACCTGCAGTCAGCTGAGACTGGGAAAGGTTTCTCCCACTGAAAACTCTTCATCCAGATGAACAGAATCAACTTTCTGGGATTTCCTTACCTGGATGGTTGAGCATGCATCAAGACTGTCCAGATGGGTCATTCTTTACATGCATGTGTGTCTACTCTGCACTGATTAAACAGCACTGTGAAGGTGTGGCAGAGCTTCATACCCACCAGGGGGAAGTATTGTGTTAAGGTAGGGTCAGCAATGAGACAAATGCTGCCATTTAAAAAGGCAAGTGGAGTACAATACAGGCTTTAATGGTCCCTTTACTGACCCCTCGGTTTCTTACAATATGTCAGTATGTGATGGTGAAATCACTTTTGAACTCACAAGCTTCACTGCCTTTTAGAGCTTCATTTTGAGAGACGCTCAAGTAATAAGGAGATATGTCTTTAACAATGAGAGTCAAAATATGCCCTCACGTGTCTGTGGACTATGAATATCTGAAGAGACGACACTTTATGTGAACTCTGTCAAGAGATCACGAAGTCAGATGATACAGCGAGCAGGAAAACGGGCGCCTGTGCATGTGTCATTCCAGGATGGCACCCTAACAGAGGGCCGTTTGTCTGACTCATTTTCACTCAGAGCAGTGGTCTTAATGAGCGCCTTCTTCAGTCTCTCAAAACAACCCTTTGCACTTTGGCCCGTGTCATCTGACAAACAGGGAATTCTTCTTCTTCAGCTTTAAAGAATACACTAATTCTGCAGTCAGTGCCACGAGCAATCATCCGCTGTGCCTGCAGTAGCTTATTCGAGGAACAGTGTAACACATCGTGCTTCGTGGACAGTTGAGTGCAATGTTCTCTCACTTTGATCATTTCCACCCATGATTGCGTTGATATGACAAAACTGAGGGAGGATGCCACCGTTTAGCCCACTTTAGCCACACCCCTGTGTTGGTGAACCCTGTGGCATTAGCTTAGCAGAGCATCTACTGTTATTTTAGAGAAAACAGAAAATTCTTTGCTTGATACAATGGATTAAACTTAAAAAAGAGAGAGAGAGAGTCTGTAACTACATCTGTAAAACATCCATCCATCATCCACATACAGAGATGCATCAGGGGAAACTCGGGGTTCAGTATCTTGTAGAGACTGATCAAAATATCGATGGTATTGATGTCGGTTCAACACTAGCATGATATGATTAATGCTGTCCTCCAAGTTCAGTATGCAGCCCACTGAATTGTGTGAATTTAATTATTATTTTGGAAGTGAAAAAAAAACCCCCTCAAACATGCACAATATAGCCTATAACACAGTTAAACGAGAGAAGCTGGCCCAAAGAGACAGGCACATTTACATTTCAAATCCCCCCCCCCACACACACACACACACATACAAAAAAACTATTTAAAAATACACGAAAAGTTTAGCTTTTTTGCTGTGTTAACTAATTATTGCTGAACTTAAAAAATCACAGTGATTTACAGGTCTTTAAAATATGACAAACTCCTGTTCCCTACATAAGATGGTTTGTAAATTAAAAGTATCGGTATTGTTTTCAGCAATACTGACTGTATTCACTTGGTAACAGATCAATATCAAAATGTGGACTATTGCACAGCGATAATATCTCACCAGAGGACATTTTGAGTTACATTTTGGATCAGGCAGGGTTCGAACCCCAGACCTTACAGTTGTCGTCAGTACACGCGGATCGTGATATTTCGTGCATGTACAAGAACACAATTGAGGTTACTCAGTAAAATTGACATTTTCAGGCCCAGATTCTCGACTTCGGCAGCCATTAGCTAGTCTAAACTAAAAACAACAACTATACTATTTTATAATAAAATATACGCGCAGTATATTATGAAGGGAAGGTAAATTGATGACAGCGAATCCCTTTAAATTCGCACTCACGCGCACGTGACCACATACCCCCAGCTATCGGGAGCGTGCGTTTGGCGCACACCCTTCTCTCCTCCCCTAGGGCGGAAGTAGCTGGCTCCATTTCTCCTCCTCAGTCCGATAAGAGCAGCTCGAGGAGCTGCAAGCCCAGCAGCACGCGCATGAGAGCGCACAGCTTGTTTTTAATTTGACTTTAAAAAAAAAAATTCATCCGAGAATAAAAGAAAAACCAGCAGCAGCACATTAAAGGTCCAAACTGTCGCTGTACCGAGTTTCACCTGGTTGTAAGCCACCGTTCCCACCCCCATACACCGAGCCGGGGAGAAAACCCTGCGCATTCCTCCACGCAGAACCCGGAGGGAGCGACCAGCAGCGGGGAAAGGTGAGCTGGAAGGGGGCCTCCTCACAAGGTGGGCCGGTGAATTCTCCCACACTGGGGATAGACGCGCTGTCTTGTGGTCTGGCTTTGTTGGAGGCTCGCTGTGGTTGTTGGTGAACCCTCGGTGACCAGAGGCACGCTATGATACCCTTGCTTTGATGAATAATTTAAGCTCTCGCGGTCCAAGGCTCGCGCTGCGACAACCATACGACCGTTGGCCGCCTGAACGGATCCCGACGGTCAGCCACACCAGTCTGAATTTGGAGGCTTAGCGATAACGGAGAACTAAAGGGAAAAAATTTGAGGTAGCTACTCGTCCGGGTGCTGCTTTGTAGCTCTGTCCTGTAGTCATGTTGCCGATCTGGTGGGGGAGGAGAGACCGAGCCCCCCAGCCGACCCAGTATCTTTCCATTTTCGGGTTTATGTTATGAGCTATCCCGAACAGCATCGCACTATTTTTCTCCACGGAAGCACCAGCGTCGTCTGTTGCTGAATGCTGTATTTAAAAGGAGGACTGTCGGTTCTGCTAAAGAGAGAAAAAAACGCCTTACACAACTGATTTAAGTATTCTGATTTTTCATCTGATCTCACAACTGTTTTTGAATAACTTTATGAATAAGTGGCTACCTCCTTGTTTTGTTTTTTGTGGCAAATCTTTCTTCCTTTTTCATTTTTAAATCGTTGAATCTACCTCAAACACCACATTAACGTGGAGAGATAATTATCTTCTACACACCCCAAACGGGCTGATGTGTCTCCAAATGAATACCTCAGCCTCGTCGTCGTGCATGTTGTAAACTGAGCCCAGTTTTGGTGACGCTGCAGATGGCTTCGTTTCCCGACTCGGACCTGCAGACGTGCCCGCTCTGCAAGGAGCTGTGCGGCTCTTCTGCTCCCATTTCCTCCAGCTCTTCTACCTCATCGTCTTCATCTCACACCTCGTCTTCCTCCAGCCAAACCACCAAGAGGCTCCACGTTCTGCCGTGCCTGCACGCCTTCTGCAGGCAGTGCCTGGAGGGACAGCGCAGTCCCGGGGACCCGCTGAAGCTGCGGTGCCCCACCTGCGACCAGAAGGTGTCCATCTCAGAGGCCGGAGTGGACTCCCTGCCTTCCTCCAATTTCCTCTTCAGCAACCTGCTGGATGTGGTGGTGAGCTCAGAGGAGCAGATCCAGAACAAGAATGGCCACCATCACCACCACCACCACCACCACCACTCCCGGGGAGGTCTGGGTGGAGGCTCCTCTGGCTTCAGTCATCCGTCACGTGGAAGCCTGTTGCACTCGCACCACCTGGGAGAGCCTCAGTGCAGCTCCTGCGACGAGGAGAACCTGGCCACATCCCACTGCCTTGACTGCCAGGAGTACCTGTGTGATAACTGCGTGCGAGCACACCAGCGGGTGCGACTCACCAAAGACCACTTCATCGAGCGCCTGGGAGAGAACCTCCATCTGAGCAGGGTCAACGCTAACAGCAAAGCCAGCCAGCCAGGGATGTCAGTGTCCCTCGCCCAGTCCCTGCAGAACAATTTCGCGCTGCTGTCCCTGTTCCAGGATCGCATGAGCTACTGCCAGCACCACGACAGCGAGGTAAGTCCAGCACTGGGGAGGACAAACACTCATTCATAGTACCAGTATGTTATAGATACTGGCTAGTTTTTAGTCT